ACCGAAAAAAATCTACGCAAATGAAATGAAATCAAATCAATTTTATTCACTGGCGAATACGTGAGTGAGAGAGTGAAAATGTGTGTGTGTGTGTGTATGTTTTGATAGTAAGAATTATATTGATATACAAATTACGTACAAAATATTATGTACACATACAAGCCAACACACATGCACACACAGGGGCACACTCTCTTCACAGCCATGGGTAACAATGGGACTTTGCGGTGAGTGAATGAGTGGTTGTGTGTGTGCATTTTGTTTAGCTGGCCAATAAATAGGGAAAATGTTCATTGTTATTGATGTGGCTGGCTGGCTGTGTGGATAGCGGGAGCAAAGAAGGAGAGGGAGAGCTTGGCCGAAAAAGTTTGCTTCCAAAAAAAAAAAAAAAAAAACAAATTTTATTACGTTGTTTTCTTTAATTCTATTATTTTTTATTAGTCTCCAGAGGATGCAAAGTACAACAAGAACAACAACAACAGCAGCAATAAAAACGGCAAACTATAAAATTATCTGGAAAATGAAATTTTCGGCCTTTTGTGGAAAAATAGAAGAGCAGCAAAACGAAAGAGAAAACAAATAGTAAATCTAGACTCAACATTTGGTCCCTTCCAATGCGAAATAAATAAACAGCCTCGGGCATGGTTGGGGTCATGAGTTGCTTGCCAACTTTTTTCTATTTATTTTACCTTAGGCTGACATTCAGTCGTCGTCCCCTAGACGACAACTCACTCAATTATTTCCTATTTGAATTTCACAGAGAATATTTGGTAGCAATGGGGTCAGTTTTTTTTTTTTTTTCTCAAGACGAGTAGGAAAATTTTTCAAATGCAAATCGAAGCTACTCTCATTTGTCGTAGACTCGGTTGGCTGGCTGGCATAATTTTCCAGACGATTAGGGTTTTATTTGACATGACTTTTTGTTTATGTTTTCCTTTTTTTCTCTCTGATTTCCATCTAAAATTTCCTAAGCTTAAGGGAATTTTGACGGAATACTAAATAAAAAAATAAATATGTATTTCAGTTTTGCAATTTGTTTAAATTAGAAAAATAAAATGGAAAAAAGAATAATTTTGTTCTATGACATTGATTTACATATCGATGGAATTGTTACATGGTGAAATCAGTTTATCTGAAATTTGAAAAGGTTGAGAATGAGATTTATAATTTGGGAACAACTTCAAAATCTTCAGCCACATATCCTCATAATTTGCCTTTATATACCTTATTAACTAGGTGGGGAGAATATCACAGGTTGGTTTTGGGGAAGTTTATCAAATTTAATACAAACAATTAATTTGCAAAGGAAAAGGGATGTGATACCATTTAGGAGTCGATATCAGGAAAAAGATCGAAGTTTTCCAAACGCAAGAGACCAATCAATATCAATATTTTTTCAAAATTTTTTAATTTTTCTAAAATATAAAAATTAAAAAAAAAAAATAAAAAAGAGGAAGTGTCAAAAGTCTTGTGGGGGGTCTATATGATACCCTACACCACTATGCGTATTTGGTAGAGCTCCCGTAACAAAAATGCTTATATTGGGAATTTAAGTGGAGTAGTACCAACTGTAATCCAAATAATATTGCTGTATAGTGCATGACATGATTTCTAAGCCACTCGTCCGACAGCTGTTGAATTTATTCCAGTGACAGCTCATTATATTGTTAACAAGCGTACAAAAGAATTTTGGTGAGAATTTTTTAAGAAAAACATTTATTCGTGATGGAATTCTATCGTGATAATGTGATTTCCTTATATTTGGCTGGAAAACCACAAGTGGCTATCGTTAGAGCTCTCCAGCATTTAAATGTGAATAAATCTTTTGAGTCTCGTACCATCGCTCGTTACCGTGATACTGGTAGTGTAGCTCGACGTCAAGAAAGTGGACCGAAGAAAACAGAGCAACATCAGCAGAAACGGTTCGAAAAGTAAAGATGCGACTTGATCGAAACCCGCGTCGTAGTTGTCGAAATATGGCTCGTGAGGTGAACATATCGCAATATTTCATTCGGCAAATATTGAAAAATGAGCTCGAGGTGAAGCCATTGAAATTCCAAAAACTGCAAGAACTTACACCCCAACAGCAATAAAATAGACTCATAAAGAGCTAAAGAGTTGCTTCGCTTAGCCGAAAGTTGTGAAGCGCCGTATTTGGTTTTCTCCGCTACCGTATATCGGGAGCCACCATTATATAGGGGCTATACCAAAACGTGAACCTACATGGTTCATTTTCAATACCATAAGTTCTGCATACATAATATACATTTGAGTCTAATTTTATCAACCTACTTCATTTCGTTCGAGAACTAGAGTGATTTCCACAGACGGATAGCCGGACGGACATTTTCAAATCGACAAAAAATTGTATGCTGATCAAGAATATATATACTTTGTGGGTTCTAAAATGTATATTTCGAGGTGTTACAAACGGAATGACAAACTAAATATACCCTCCATACTATGGTGGAGGGTATAAAAATAAGTCGAAAAATACCGGTTGAATAAAACCCGTTATGTGGAGCCTATGCGAAGACGAGACGTTAGAATTCAAGTCTGACTTGTTCGAGCACGTTTTCCTTTTCAACGGGATTCTTATGGCCGGGAATTAAGAGCAACGCATTCTTTCACTCTTGACAATTTAAAAAGTACCAGTCCTTTTTGGCCGACAGATATGAACCAAAATTTCTTTTATGATTGTTCAAACGGTTTACCCTTTATGATGCGGGTTCAGAAGGAATGGGTCAATTCACATTTGGACTATTTTTATTTCGCATTTAATGAGAGATATCATTATTCCAAATTTTGAAACGCTTCGCGCCATCTCTTGTGCTTCTAGAAATATTGGGAGGTATGAAAGGAATTGGATTTGCTAAAATTAGACGATCCATTCTTGTTATATAGGCTAAATTAAGTCCATTGAAAATGTTGACCTTCTGTGGGGGAAGTACCAGAAAGAGTGGACCCATGCTGCCCATCTCCAAACTCGATCTAAGTTTGACAATAATGTTACGATGTGCCAAGTTTGGGCAAAATTGGATACTCCCTTCGAGAGTTATCGTGCGCACCAGCCAGCCAGACAGACATACAGACGGACATCCCTAAATCGACTCCAAATGTCCTGAAACGGATTTGGTCCAAAGAGACCTTGGGTCTAAAACCGTTATTTCGATGAAGCATATTTTGGCTGTATCAAATGATATATACCCTCTCTAGGTTATAATTAAACCAGTAATGAAAGTCTTAAAGTCGGCCGGGGCCGACTTTATGATACCCTACACCACTTTGCTAATTTAGTAGAGCTCCGCATAACAATTGAAAGTTTTTATGGGAGAGATCAATCATACACGCTATGATTATAATTTAAAGTTCAAAGGACTAAATATGCCGAAGCATTTGTATCTTTCAAATTCGGAATTGTATTGCCCTTTTGGTGCACAGTTAATTTGAAATCGGATATATATATTTGCGAGCTATATCCAAATCGGAACCGATCTCGATAAAATTTGGCAAAGATATTTCTCAGGCTGTATTTGATATATTTCCCTGAATATCGTTGTTACGGAGGGTATATTACGGCTGTGGGTAACAAATATGACAATTTGGATGAACAATATATATTAGAGCTATAGCTATATCTGAACCGATCTTCATCAAATTTGACATACTAGCTTCTAGACACATATCGGGCGTAAGTGCCGAATTTCATCCAATTTGGGCAAATATTAGACGTTTGGTGCACAAAAAAAAAGTAAATCGGACGAAGTTATATATGGGGTTATATCAAAATCTGAACCGATCTCGATAAAATTTAGAAAATATATTTCTGAGCTGTATTTGATATATTTCCCCAAATATTGTTGTTAAAGAGTGCATATTACGGCTGCAGAGGACTAAAATAACAAATCGGATGAACAGTAAATATGGGAGCTATAGCTATATCTGAACCGATCTTCACCAAATTTGGCATACTAGCTTCTAAACTCATTTCGGTCGTAAGTGCCGAATTTCATTCCATTTGGACAAATATTAGACACACACTAAAACACACTAAAAGGCAAATCGGACTAAGTTATATATGGGAGCTATATCCAAATCTGAAGCGATCTCGATAAAATTTAGCAAATGTATTTCTGAGCTGTATTTGATATATTTCCCCAAATATTGTTGTTACAGAGTGCATATTACGGCTGCGGAGCACAAAAATAAAAAATCGGTTGAGCAGTATATATGGAAGCTATAGTTTTATCTGAACCGATTTCGATCAAATTTGGCATACTTATTTTCAGATCTCATTTGGTTGTATATGCAAAATTCCATACTATTCCGCCTTCGGGCTGATATTACACGTTTGGTGCACAATAAAAAGCAAATCGGACGAAGATATATATAGGAGCTATATCTAAATTTTTACCTATTATCTCCAATTTCAATAGGTTTCGTCCTTGGGCCAAAAAAAAGATTTGTGCAAAATTTCATCTGGATAGGACAATAAATGCGAACTGTACTTTGTTTACAAAAATCCATGGACAGACGGACGGACGGACGAACATGCATAAATCGACTCGGAATGTGATTCTATGGAGATCCTCAAAAGTAACTATGGGTGTATCTCGTTTCCTTTTGCCTGTTACAAACAAATGCACAAAGACATAATACCCTGACCACCTTGTGGTGTAGAGTATAAATAGTAGCAACGTAATTGTAGAACCGTCATTACGGATTTTTTGAAAATCTAAAATATATTTTTCGACTGAATCGGCTGTTGATTTCACATCGTGAATAGTATAAAAATGCTTAATTTATTATGTTCCGAATTTTATCGGAAATTTCACATGCAGTTTTGGTAGTTTTGATTTTTACAACATAAACTCCCAAAAATTTTATATTTCCTCACAAGTTTTTGGAATTTCAAACTATTCATCCATGGCGTATAACTAATAAAAATTATAAAATAAAAATTAACAACACACACACACATACACACATTTATTACTTACGTTTTATGATGCTGTTACTGCCGATGTCTGCTGCTGACCTTCGTTGCACACACCGTTGTTGGCGGCTGACAGCTGCTATTTTGAGATTATTTCAATTTTGTGTTTTTCTTGTTTTTGTTATTTTTTCGGTTTTTCGTATTCCAAAACAACAGCAAATGCAGAAAATGAAGAAAAACAAAACAAACTTTTTTTGGGAGGATGGTGTGTTGCCGCTTCTCGGTTTTTTGGCAACTTTGTTGTCTGGCACTGAGGCTTGGCCGTCACTCACTCAGTCAGTCAGTCAGCAATATTTTTGTATATTTTATTATCTTTTTTTGTTACTTTTTTTTTCTTTCTATAATTTCATGAATTTTTTTGTGTGTTTCAACAACGAGAATTTCTTGTTGCACTTTTATTTTGTTATAATTTTTGTTTTCTTGCTGTTTTTTTTTTTATGTTACTAAAGTAAAAATCACTGCTGTTGATGGGGAGACAAAGAGAAAAGAGAGGGAGAGAGAGAGGGATGATATTAAATAAACATTTCGATATTCTTTTCTGTAAGTATTTGCTTTTGCATCCTGTGTGGGTGTACCACCTTTGTGTGTGCGTGTGTGTGTTATCCCAAATATCCTTTGGTTTTCTCAAATCCACAATTTTTTTTTCTTCTTTCATTCAGCTTCCAAACCATTAAAAACTTACTCCTTCGTTTTATGAGTTCTCTGAGCCTGCATTCGAAAGATAAACAAGCGACACAATACAAATAAACGCACACACACACCAACACAGAGATTCAAGTGTAGCTGACCAAATATTTGAGGACTCTTGAAAATAAAATGGGTTGGTATTTTATCAGTACCGAAAAATTCGGTAATTGTTACAATACGGAATTCGAGTGAAGAGTAAGAGCAACAACAAACAACAATGCAGTACTGACCACAATCCTTAAAATAGTGACTGGGGATTTTTTTGCAGACTTCAGAAAATACAAACGTTTTGGAATTTTTGCATATTTATATGAAACTTTAAATCATTATCCAAGACCTTCAAAATACGACTTAATTTAATTAGGATTTTTTGCAGAAGTTATCCTCCGGCATCTAAGAACACCATTAAGCGTTTATACGAAAAATTTTCGACTGGTAAGGCTCTTTCTAATCCGAAGAGGCCATATAAAAGTCGACCAAGGCGATCTGCCGAGAATATCGCTGCCGTACGAACCTGTGTAGAGGTCCGCAAGAACATCCCAAAAACGCCGTTCTCAGCAGTTGGGCATGGCTCGGTCCACTTTACAATGGATTATTCGCATTGATTTGCATTTGTTCCCGTACAAAATTCAATTGACGCAAAGAATGATGACTGCGGACAAGCCTCATCGATTGGAATGGGCCCAAAGGGTCCAAAGGTCCGTCGAATATGGGCAACCCTGAATTTGAAAAGACTTTGCTATAATCTGGTATTTGGTTGATTCGTCAATCAATTGAGGCAGCCCTATATTACCACACATCCTTATTTTGTCATTTTGAAGGTTTTGACAACATTTTCCAAAGAACTTTTCACAAAAATTTGTCAACTTTTTTAATAATCGGTCCACTTTTCGACATAGGTCACATTCCAAAGTAATGCCCATACCTTAACATTTATCTTTACAAGAGACTAGAAACCCTCCTCCTCTTCTTAGAGAGTAGGAATCCTTTCAATCAATTTTTATACCTCACAACACTATGTGTTGATTGGGCCAAAAATTATGCAACACCTCGAAATATTGGTTTCCCACCTAGGAAAGTATGTATGGTCGATATTATGGCCTATCTTCACGAAATTTAGAATGGAGGTGGTGCTAGAGCCGGAGTAGAAGCTTTTGGAGATGATCGCATAATATTTAGGGGTTGAAATGGACCAAAAACTGAAAAATTTCCTAATTTTGCAGTTGCTCTACAGATCGCAATTATAGACCAATCGAACCGGAAGTTAGCTTGGGGCTGGAGCTTAGGGCTGGGCAGAAGCCTTCCAATTTTGATGGTCATCGGGTAATATTTAGTGGGTGAAACATGTGTGTTAAATAAAATTCAAATTTTCCATTAAACCGAGAATATTTTTAATCCCAGCGAATTTACAAATAGACAAAGAGGTCAATTTTGGCGTTATGTAGATGCCGATAGTAAATAGTTCGGATATATATAGAGAAATAAATAAAATATATATATATACAAAGGAAGGGGATGTTAACTTGAATGCTTATATCTCAAGAATGACTGGATAAATTTTGACAAATTTTGTCAATTCAGAATGCCCTCTTTGCATAAAAGAATAAAATCTAAAAAAAAAACAGCTTAAAAAGAAGCCAGTAATGATGTTTATATAGATTTTGTAATATTTTGTGACATTTTTTTATATTTCCATATTTTTATCGCATGCGATTTTTTCAATTTGACTTATAATATTGAAGTGTATATTTTGTAATATTTCATTCATCTTACATCATAGGTTGGGGTTACTATATACAGATTGCAATTATGGTCCGATTCTCACGAAAATTTTCACAAGGGTAGGGTTAGGCTCAGAAGGGCTAGGCCTATTGTTTTCAAAGATGTCCGCAATATATTAGGTTGAAATGGATTTTCCTGATTTTGCAGCCGTTATAAAGGTCACAAATAGAAACCAAAGGACACGAAATCTCGCATAAAGTTATAGTTAGGACAGCGGGTACAATGGTATACTAATTTTGTGTGAATAAATACCAGCATTATTAACAGGTGATATCCGAAATACACAAAAGGCGAACTTCTGGCTTTTTTATGCTGATTTCGTTGACGAATATAGCCAAATATCGTAGACAAGGAAATCATATAGATGAGTCTAAATTTGTCTCCTGCTTTTGGAGATGATCGCAAAATATTAGGGGTTCAAATGAATCAAAAACAGAAAAAAATTCCTGATCACAGGATTGAAGCCATTAGACACGCCTGAGAAGAGCGTTAAGGAGAGGGAAGAATTCTAGCATTTTGGATGACCATAGGATTATATTTAGCTATAAAATGTACCACAACACCTAACAGCACGTCGGAGTGCGTAAATATTGGACAAATGTCCCTGGTCAAAATGCTGAGGGTAATATCTGGGCTGTGCACCGTGACATAATTTCAAAAGCAAAATCTTCCAAAAAGGATTTGGACATAAGGGGTCTTCTAACATATTGTATTGTTGTAGGGTATCACAACATAGCTTACTTGTTTTTCCATATTTTCCTATACTTTCTCTCTACAATAGCCAGTCTGGGTTGTGGAAAATACCAAATTCATATTCGCTTTTAGATCAAATCCCCAAAGGAGTTCTTGGTTCTTCGGTCAAATGTTGCTAAGGCTCCTATATAGTTTTGAACATATAAATAAGAACCCTATAGTTTGAGACTTGTTTCGTAATATATAAGAAGGAGCTTTGATATTTTATATAGATCTTTGGATTACATCCAGAATCATCGGCATAGAAAAAGAGGTCATATCGATCCACTGTGTGAGTAGATCTAGGTATGTGTGTCCGTCCGTCCGTCTGTTCGTGTTAATTTGTAATCACGCTACATCGTCTGATCCTCACGACATTTTGTATGGAGGTGGGGTTAAGGTCAGAAATAGAAGTGACTTCTACTCCGACATTTATATTGACTTGGAAAATTAAATTATTTACCCCTCTATTTCGGTTTTATATCCTCGACCATACGGCTAGAGAGGGTACATATCATTTGATACGGTCAACGGGTAACGGTTTTAGACCCTAGGTCTCTTTGGATCAAATCCAATTCAGGACATTTGGAGTCGATCTAGCGATGTCCGTCCGTCTGTCTGTCTGTGGTGCGCACGATACCTCTCGAAGGGAGTATCCAATTTTGCCCAAACTTGGCACATCGTAACATTATTGTCAAACTTAGATCGAGGTCGGAGATGGGCGATACCGGTCCACTTTTTCTGGTTTCTCCCCTACAAAATGTCGAAATTTTCAAAGAAAATATCTTACTGCACAGCATGAGAAAGGATTATCCGATTTTTCTCCAACTTTCCTAAATCCTAATATTTACGTCATTGCTACGTCTGGTGCAAAAATGGACGATATCGGCCCACTCCATCAAGCGCCTCCCCCACAAAGGGTCATAATTTTGAATAATTACAACTCTTAAAAAATGTGATGAAAGAGTCCGATTGTTCTCAAATTTCACACATCCTAATATTTTTATTAACCCAAGATATGGTGTTAGGATGGAATATATCGGTCCGCTTCTTCTGGTACCTCCCCCACAAAACATCGAAATTTTCAAAAAAAATATTATTTTTTTTTTTGCACAGAAAGAGAAACGATTATCCGATTTTGCTCCAACTTTACAAATCCTAATATCGGTCTACTCCATCCAGAAAGGGTCAAAATTTTGAATAATTACAACGCTTAAAAAATGTTATGTAAGAGTTCTATTGTCTTCAAATTTCACATATCCCAATATTTTAATTAAACTACAGTCTGGTGTTAAAATGGAATTCATCGGACCACTCCTTCTGATACCTTCCCCACAAAAGATCGAAATTTTCAAAAAAAAATATTTTCTGCACAGAAAGAGAAGCAATAATTCGATTTTGCTCCACCTTTGCAAATTCTAATATTTGTCTCAGTTCTCGATTAGGTCCACTCCATCAAGTGCTTCCCCCAGAAAGGGACAAAATTTTGCATAATTACAACTCTAATCACACATCCCAATATTTTTATTAACTCCAGATCTGGTGTTAAGATGGAATATATCGGTCCACTCCTTCTGAACCCCATTCAGGAACCTCACCAACAAAGGGCCACTATTTTCAATATTTTATCTATCATAACTTGCCAAATAAGTCAGGGATTCTTTACAAGTTGTTATGGTTCTTATATACAATTCTCTCAATTAGAAACCTGAGATGAATATGGAATTTATGATTTCCAATAAATGTGATGTAAATGTTCGATTTTCTTATAATTTTGCAATACCAATTTTTTTGTCTGTATTAGATTTAGTATGAAATTTGAATACTTCGGTCGACTATATCTGGCAACTCTCGCACATTTTACCATATTCTACAAAATTATCAAAAAAAAAAATTATATCTTTATATCTTTATATCTCATATAAAGTAAAGGAATATTATATCATATTTATTTAGGTCCGATACTAAATTTGGCCTATTCCTTTTTTATACTTTTTAACCTGTTTACATAAAAATCATGGTCTATTTCACCCGCTATTATTCGATGACCATACAGATTGGAAGGCTTTTGCATAACCCTAAACTCTAGTCCCATGCAAAATTTCGAGTAGATTGGTCTATAGTTCTGTGGAAATCACGATAGGGTCCAAATTATTAAATCTAGAGCTTTGAAATTTGGCAAAAAGTTTACATTATATGCAGGCTGATAGCTATTGGAAATCGGTTATATTGGTCTACGTTTAGGTATAACCCGTATATA